AAGAAAGGCAAGAGGACACTCTTTTTGAATTTGAACCACTTCAACAGTCACTTTAAATTGTATAAAATTCAGAAGAATGGTTCTAAGCTGTTAAACTCTGACTTTGTCAACGGGGGCTTCTCCCACTTACGAAATATCCAAAAACTGCCCCAAGTTAAAGAAGCTTTAATTCTTATTTAAAGTCTCATTTTCAGACTCCATTAGATTTGGACATAATTTTGGAAAATAGAGTTCAAAGCCTCAGCTTTCCTCTGTTTTTCAGTCCATTAAACAACATAGAGTTTTCACTATTCATTCATATGCTCCTTACATTAGATCGTCAGAAGTTAGTAAATCGAAAGAGGTACGGATTTTTGTACTTTCCTTTTTCCTTGTTCTTTTATGATTTGTGTGTATTCTTGTAGTAAAAATTTAACTCGAACCCGATTTGAAACTTGGTATACATCGGGTTAAAAATAAGTTAGACGGGTTACTTTCGATCCAACATTCATACTTCTTGAATGAAAATACATATATATATGATAAAATGTCATGATTTTCTTAATTATTATAGTTTTTTAGCCCTTAGGTAGTCTTTCAAATTTTATTAATGGAAGATTTATTGTAGCAAGAACCAGAAAAGATGTATAAAATTTGATAAAACGATCCAAAGTCTTTTGCCAGCTTGTCAAAAAATCGAATTTTAATTAGCAAAAACGTTGACATCTGGCTCCTATTTGTTGATCATTATCTTGCGTGTATGTGTATTTTGTAATGTTGACTTTCATATTTTGTGGGTGCAGTTAGAGCATTTTTATCAATGGGTTTGAGTTTGAGGTTTGAATGTTTAAACCTGGTTTGGATATGTAAACCTCCCACAAACCGGGAATAAGGGCCCACACACATGTCCCATGTCTCTCAATTAATTTCTTTTCTTCCATTTTGTTTTTCTTTTTTGCGTATTTCCTTCATGGGCAAATATGGATTATATATTCTTTTATTTTTATTTCTTGATTTACATAATTGTGAATACAAGTTAATGTTCGATAAAAATAAAATAATTCTTAATTTTATTATAAGTATTTTTTATATGTTATTTTATTTATGGATTTCTATTACTAACTTAAATTTAATTATTCAACAATTAATTACCCTTTAATATTTGTAGTTTAATAATTATAGAAGGTTTTACATATGCAACCAATATTTCCCGTCTCATGCTAATTTACTATAATTATAAATAATGTCAATATAATCTTTTATACATTTATGATAAATATAAGAAACTTTTATTTTCCAAGTATAAGAAATGAAGTTATATTTGAATAAAATTAGCAAAATATAATATTAATTAAAACTAAATGAGAACAAGTGGGACCTATAAAAAAGTATGTTTGATATATTGGGAATGAATCCGAGTAATATTTACAAAAAGTTTATACTTAAATTTTAGTTTTTAACATCATGTAAGTTCTATGTACACAAATTTTCAATATAATTAATTAAAACTAAACGAGAACAAATGAGACATGTCTTGTAATTTTTTAAAGTAAACTTTACGTCGGTACGTAACTACACTTGATGATTATAAATAACATAATCTAATTATATACAATTATATTATTTTTTATATATGATAAATATATGAAATATTTAGATTGAATAAAAATAAAAATGAAGTTATAGATTTAAAATATTAATAAAAATATAAGAGTATAATATTAATTAAAAGTAAGTGGGAAATATATGGGACCCATAAAAAATGAGGTTTATTGTTATTGGAGGTTATTAGGTGTAGGAGTAAGAATAAAGTTTTAGATGGTGTGGCACGTTACAAGTGTAAAAAGAGGTTTATGAGGTTTATGGGAAGGGATTGTTAAATGGGGACATGTTACCTTTTGAATATTATTCTATTATTTGTCTTGAGTTGGCTTCGTACCTTATATCTTTCATTTTTAATTAATAATCTTTTTTTTTTTCAAATTCATTAATTAATTGTCAGATCCATAATCTTTTTTCAATTGCTAAACTTGTCAGCAAATTTTCAATTTTATTATTATTTTTTTTTGTCTCCCAAAGGTCTAATCTCCAAAACTTGATTTAATCAGCTTAACTCAACTTAGTATTTGAAAAAAAAAAATTACTACAAACTTTTGATTCAGTTCAATCTACAGGAAAGCTTCAAAATGATCAAGAAATCGAGTTTCGGGCCGGGCCCGTTTCCTCTGATCACGATCCTCTCCATTCTACTGCTTCCGGCTCGGTTATTACGGGCCGACCCGCGAACCCAAACCGTGCTTTTCGAGTGCACGAACCAGCTCGAGGACAACACCACCATCTTCGTGCCCAACTTCGTGGCCACAATGGAGAACATAAGCGCCCAAATCCGAACATCGGGCTTCGGCACAGCCTCAACGGGCTTCGGGCCCAACGCCAACTTCGGGCTGACCCAATGCTACGGCGACCTCTCAATTGTAGACTGTGTCCTTTGCAATGCCGCGGCCCGAACACTCCTTCCGCATTGTTATCCGTACAACGGCGGTCGCGTTTATCTCGACGGGTGTTTCGCGAGGTCCGAGAATTACACGTTCTTCGAGGAGTATAGCGGGCCGGGAGATCGGGCCGTGTGTGGGAACACGAGCTCGGCCCGACAATTTGGGCCGGAATTTCGGGCTTCGGCCCGGCAAGCCGTGGCCCAGGCAGTCTCGGCTGCGCCGGGTGAGAACGGGTTCGCGCGGGCCCGAGTGAGGGTGGGTGAGTCGAGGAATGGGTCGGTTTACGTGTTGGCGAATTGTTGGAGGACGATAGGGGAACGGGCTTGTCGGGCATGTTTGGCGAGCGCGGCCCAGTCGGTTTTAGGGTGTTTGCCTTCGTCTGAGGGCCGGGCCTTGAACACGGGTTGTTTCTTGAGGTACTCGGATATGGATTTCCTTAATCCCTTGTCCGGGAGTGGAGGTTCGACTTCGAGTGGTATGGAAAAGGGTTATTCGTTGACTTTTTTTTTATGCGTTTTGTAGTGTTGTTAAATTAAACGAATCTGACTCGGCTCGTCTCGTTAAGGCTGGAGTTTGGCTCGAGCTCGAGACCATAACAAGCCGAGCTCGTTAATGAGCTAAACTCGGCTCGGCTCGATAAGGCTAGAAAACATAACCTTTATATAACTTTCTATGGAAAAGGATTATTCGTTGATTTATTTTTTTTTCGGCGTTTTGTAGTGCTGTTAAATTAAACGAGTCTGCCTCATCTTGGCTTGAGCTGGAGGCCTTAATGAACTAAGTTCGAGCTCATTTGAAGCTCGTTTGGTTAACGAGTCAAATCAGCGCGGCTCGATAAGGCTCGAAAAGAGAGTGTTTATATAATTTTCTATAGTTCGGCTCGTAAAGCTCGATATCGGCTCGTTAAGACTCGAAACTCTGCTTTTTAATACTAATAGACGAGCTTAGCTCGAACTCGATTTATGGCTCGTTTATTTAACGAACTGAACTCGGCTCGGTTCGTTTACAGGCCTAACGTTTTGTTTTGCCAATCGAGGAATTAACTTTATAAACCGGCTTTCGATTTTTTTTTTTTTCGAGCAGGGAGGAATAGGATTATAGCGATTGTGGTGGCATCGGTTAGTGCAGCGGCGGTTTTGGCGACCGGAGCTTATGNGGTGTTTTACCGGACGGGAGAGAAATCGCGGTCAAGAGGCTTTTCTTCAACAACAAGCACCGAGCGGCCGATTTCTACAATGAGGTCAACATTATAAGTAGCGTTGAGCACAAGAATCTTGTTCGGTTATTAGGGTGCAGCTGCTCGGGACCTGAAAGCCTTCTCGTTTACGAATTCTTGCAAAACCAAAGCCTTGATCACTTCATTTTCGGTTAGTATATATGGTGATTATTATATATGTCTTGAAGTTAGTCATTTACTTTACAATCATTTTTTTTTTTTCGATTAATTCATGTTCGTTCGATGGTTTTTTGGCAGATCCAATTCGAGGCAAGACGTTAAACTGGGAGAAAAGGTTCGGAATCATAATCGGGACAGCCGAGGGCTTAGTGTACCTTCACGAGAACACGAAGATAAGGATTATTCATCGAGACATAAAGGCAAGCAATATCCTCTTAGACTCGAGATTTCGCGCGAAAATCGCGGATTTCGGGCTGGCCAGGTCATTTCAAGATGACAAGAGTCATATAACCACAGGCATAGCAGGAACATTGTAAGTAAATAAGTAACAAATTCTTGAATTTTATTACATACATTAGAATTTTACGACTGACGAATAATAATAATAATAATAATAATAATAATAATAATAATAATAATAATAATAATAATAATAATAATAATTCTTGGAAATTTTACGAAAATTTTTTTTGCAGGGGATATATGGCCCCAGAATACCTAGCACACGGCCAGCTAACCGAAAAAGCCGATGTCTACAGCTTCGGCGTTCTTTTACTAGAAATAGTCACCGGCAAAATGAATAACCGAAGTAAAACCTCAGAGTACTCGGACAGCCTTATATCCATCGTACGTACCTTTTAGCTTCAAATTTTAAAAATGCTCGTTTTTTTTTTCATTGTTCGTATTTATATGTATTCCTATAGGTATGGAGGCATTTCAAGGAACGAGCTGTCGAAAGGCTCCTAGACCCAAGCCTAACGAACAACCATAACTACAACAACATAAAAAACGAGATATTGCGTGTGGTCCACGTGGGACTCTTATGCACGCAAGAAAACCCGACTTTAAGGCCGTTTATGTCAAAGGCTTTACTAATGCTCGTCAACAGAGATGAACTACCGGCCCCGACTAATCCTCCTTTCATGGACGAGAGAACCATGCAACTAAACGACTCGAGTGAAAATACGTTATTGCCCCTACAGAATGGGAGAGGCGAGGACTCGGTTGCCAACGTGTCACATAGCATTTTCTATCCAAGATGATGTCGAAAAAGTTCGGGTTTTTTTCGTCTAGAGTTGTACATAAGAATGCATAAATTTAGGGGTGTTTTCTTAAAGAGTTTTTTACACATCTGATTTTTCTGATTTGTTATAGAGTTTCTTGTGCACTAAATACTATATTGGAATCAATTTACTAGTGAAGCTTTTTTTGTGATCAAGTTTATTGGAATATGTTTATCTTGAGAAATTTTAGTTCAATGCAACATGCAGTAAGCAAAGCACCATGAATATGGCACAGAAAGTTACAATTAAATCATATGGCCCATTAACCTAAATTAGTTAACTTCCAAACATATGGACCATTAATCATAAGGCCCATTAGGCAACTTCCAAACATGTTTCGGCCACAAAATAATTGTTCAATTCTCGAGGTATGCAATTTTTAATAAGAAAAATGCTACAAGTACATAATAAATATATATAGAGGTGTACATAACACTCACATGAAGTGGAGTCCACTTGATTTTCTATTGAATAATATGTATAGACTAAAGATGTGAGAGTAATATTAAATAGTATTTATAATTACATATGTGGGTTAACATGTAAGTTTATATAAGGCAACTTGAGTAAAGAATCAAATTACTAGTGAAGCTTTTTTGTGATCAAGTTTATTGGAATATATTTATCTTGAGAAATTTTAGTTCAATGCAACATATATACAGAATTACAGATACAGGTTATGTTTGATAAAATTAGCTGATAACTGATAAACTAGATTATATCTTATATATATAATTTTCGAGCTTATAACTACATGATTAACTGATAAACTAAATTATAGCTTATATATATAATTTTGGAGCTTATAACTACATGATTTTCTTTTCGTTTTTCTGGGATCGGGTCTTATATTAGGAGGTCTGGGAGTGGTATTACTTAACAACCCAATTTATTCTGCCTTTTCATTGGGATTGGTTCTTGTTTTTATATCCTTATTATTCTATCAAAATCCCATTTTGTAGCAGCAGCACAGCTACTTATTTACGTGGGTATTAATCATATTTATTTTATGACTTATAGTTAAAAAAATAACTTATATGATAAAAGTGTTGATGACTTATAGTTAAAAAATTAGTTGAATGTTTAATAAAATTAGTTGATAAAAAATTCAACTAGCTTATTTGAATAGTTAGTTAAAGAAGTTTATGAGATATTCAATTCTACCAAACGAGACTTATTTGAATACATAAAGTTTATCATCATATTAAAAAGTACTGAAGCTTCTCGAATAAGACATATTTAAGGTCTATTGCATCAGCTCAACTGGAGAAAGACATTTTTTCGCTCTGTTAATTAAATTAAAAGATGTGGTCTCAGCACAAGCAATTGCATATCCAGAGATTAAAAAGTAGAATGAGGGCTCTTTTACTTTGCAGGATGGGATAAGACAAATTATCAAGACAACTTTACATGTCAGCAATTAGTCCCTTGTTTACTTTTCGGGTTGGGATTTGCATAAATGAATCCCATCTTTACTTCGATGGATTAATTGGCATGTTACACAATCCAAAGACTAAATTACCCTTATGTCTGTACAAAATTGACTTCACAGAATCGAGTTCATTCTTCTCCCCTTGCACTCATCTCCATCTTCAAACAGCGAGTAGCACATAAACGTACTCATCAGTCACCTGAAACAGGACGCCTGAATAACTACTAAACTCGGCTTGACAAGGACGCTTCCTCAGTCACAGTTATGCCCGACGGAGATGGCGTTTTGTACTGGAGCAACACAAATTGCAATAACTAAACAAAATAAATAAATAAATAAATGAATTAAAATTGTAATGGAGAAGAAATCGACAGAGAAAACGGAGAAAACGAAGCACGCCCACGAATGTAACGCGAAATCGACATAAATTGAAATGGAGAAGAAAAAAATGGCGAATTGGAGCTCTTCGCGTTTACATATAATAACTTCAACCTAGCTGTCCAAAATTATGGTTGTTCTCCGAAGCACCTCCTCACCTGCCACGCTTTTGCCACTCTATCTCCCTACATTATGCGATCTGCCCAACCATCAAATCCTCACCACCAAAACAAGAGAACAACAAAATTGTTAAAAAATTTAATCTTTTTCAGAATACCCTAATATGGCTTCGAGAATCCAATCCGATTTCCAAGATTTCTTGCCCCTCATGGCCGAGAAGCTCAGCCCGACGGAGAAAACGAAGCTTCACAACAATGGCGGCCTCGTCTGTGCAGAAATTAGGGCAAAAAATGTGATGCTCGATTTTATTTCTATGGGTGGCAGTTGTAAATTAATGCAAATTAGGGGGTATCTTGGTCATTTCACAGTGAAATCTGAGGGCAATATAGGTATCCTATGCGTGGGATTATTATATCCGAGGGGGGGAGCGGGATGAATTTAATCGGCAAATGGTGGATGAACCAGTGCAGCTGCCTTCCACATATGCGCCACGTCAGACAAATTCAATCCCATTCCCATGAAGTAAATGTAAGATATCCCAAGACTATTTTGCTTATCCTGTCCTGTCCCGCAAAGTAAACGCCCCCTGAGAAGTTTATATTACAATGGTCTCAAAGTCAACTATTCACATCCTCACGAGCCACGCGTCCCATTCAACTCACCGGACTCACCTCAAACTTCCACTTGTTCACTACCATGGCCCGCCGCAGGTCCCCAATCCCCACCTCCGAGCTCGAGAACACCAGCCTCCTCCCGATAATCCCCCCACGCGCCACCAAATTCCCCACGCTCCACCACCGGGAGCCTCCGCCGCCCACCACCTCGCACGCCACCACCTCCTCCGCCGCGCACACGTACACCACGCTCCCCGACACGCGGACCTCCACCGAGAAATTCCCAAAACACTCGTCCCTCAGCCGCCGCACAAATTCCTCAGGCATTTCCCCAATTTCCTCGAAATCGGAGAAATCACTTCCGGCGAATCTCCAAATCTTCACCCTGTCCGCGCCGTCGACCCTGCACACTCCGATCAACAGCAAACCGCCGTTGAAGCACCCGATATTGTAATTGGTAACCGTCTGACTCGGATCCAGCGAAACCGGGTCGGACCACGACCCGGTCTCCGGGTCGAACCAGTGAAGCACGCCGGATTGCTTCTCGACAACGACGAGCTTCCCAGCGATAGCGGCCGCTGAGAGCCAGGACGACGACGCGGACCCTTTCAGATTCACCGGCATGGGGTCGCACGCGCGCCATGCGCGCGTCCTCAATCCGTAGATCTCAACGGCCAGGGGATCGTCCTCGAAGTCGCACGCGCCGCCCGCGACCACGAGATGCTACCCCACGCGCGCGACGATTGGGTCCGCCCGCCACACGCGGGGAGGATCCGCGGCGCGCCAGTCGGATCCCAGCGGGTCGAGCGAGAATCGAAACTCGGACGGCGACAGCGCGTAGAGGAAGTTGGATGGGGATGAGTCGAGGGCGGCGGGGGCGTGCGCCGCCGGCGGCCGCGATATGCGGATCCAGATCCTGGAGCGTGGATCGTACGCGCTTACGGTGGTGTGGTGGGGGGAGTGAGTAGCCTGCGCGTGGACGATCAGCCAGGGTTTGAGCGGGCTGTGGTGGAGGGAGGAGGAGACGGCGTCGCGCCACCACGTAGACACGTGGCAGGCGGCGACGAGATAGACGGCCGGCACGTGGGAAAGGATGGTCTCCAGCACGTCGCCGCGGATTTCGGCGCCTTGTTCCTCTGTGTGTGCCGGCGCCATTTTTTGAGTGGTGTATAGTTTTGAGACTTTGGTGTGGTATATAGTAGCTCTTTTGGTTGATTCATAATTAAATTATTGTCATTTTAGGGGTATTTTTTGAGTGAAGCCAAAAAGTTTGAATCCGAGCTCATGCTATTTTTAATAAATGAGTTGGTTTGGGTCGATTCAACTTACCTAGTTTGGTTTATGAGGCAGGCTAGATTCCATTAAAACTCAGCTCCATTTGTTTGGTAAATCGAAAATTTTATGTGAGTTTTTCAACTTTTTTATTTAAAACTTCATAAAAAAATAAAATAAAAAAAATGAATTGCTTTTGAATAAACTCGACTCGACTCATTTAATAAGTGAACTCGATCAGTTGTTTGAGCTCGACTTATTTAACTAAACGAATATGTCGAGCACGAGCTTTCACAAATTGAATCGAATTGTATCTTCGAAAAGTTTATTTGTTTGGCAATTAATTATAAAATGATGGGTAGGAGTATATTTAAAGGAATAAGACTAAGCTAGTTGTTGTGCTTTAATATTTTGTATAAAAAAAACATTTGTGTCATTCTAGCTTAATTGATCATTTGTTAAATAAATATCGTTTTGGCCATTTTGTTCATATTTTTCCCTTTTAACCCCTCCATTAATACCCATTGTCTCTTCATATTCTCAAGAACATCCATCCATAGTTGTGTCATTAAATAGGGTTAAACTTGGAAAGAAAAATATTTCTTAATTAGTGTGTTGATAGCCAGGATGATAAATATTTAAAATAGGAGGGAGTAGCATATTATTTGTCAATTTAAATAGATTATATAAAAAATTGAATGTTATTATATTATTTTAAATAATAAATATAAAATAATATCATAATTAAATATAATAAAATAATTTTATATTTGATAAATTTAAAAATAATACATTTCTACATGAATTCTAAATTATTAATTACATGAATTTAAAATACTTAAAAAATTGATAGACATGAGACACAGACTCTATAAATAGAAATAATAATCATAATACAATAAAAATTATTTTGTTTAAAAAGTAAATCAAATATATGGATTTGTAAATAATATCATTTTTATACATATATATTTACAAAATTATCTTTTTTGACAAAAGATTAGTGTAAAATACGGACACAATTTGAATTTAATTATCACTTTGTTAGTTATTTATTATTTTTGTATATTTACCATAATATAAATTATTTTAATTTTTATTGTACAAATATTAATATATTTAAGTACCCATGTAGTATACGGGTATTGTACTAGTATATTGTATTAATATATAAAAAAATATGATCCCGTCTGTTTTCATTATTTACATCATTGAAGACCTTTGACAAGTCCCTTTCTTCCCCTAAAACTCGTCTGAAGAAAAAACCCTTGCCCCAACTCGCTTCCTCCGATTAAAAGTCGTCTTCCTTCCATAGAGGCCTTCGAGCTTC